AGGGGGAGGAAAGGAATAAGCTACACGTCCACAAAAAGAATAAAACTAAGAAAGAAATGGATGAAACTTGAATCGAGACAAACTTTAAGAAAGCACCATAGTTTATTAGCTATTTACCGAGCTCATTTATTGTTTCAATATTCACTATTCGTAGCAAAAGTTTCATCGTCACCGGCTTGTATCAACTGTATTCTTTTGCGTATAGTGATTGTATTAATTAGGAATGTCAAACGGGCGGGCCGGATCGGATATAGTTCGGATCGAAAACGTGTAATGAAAAAACGGATAAATTATCCGACCCGACCCATATCTAATACGGACAAAAAACGGGTTAACCGATAGATAATATAGGTAACCATATATCCATGACTTCTTGCATATGATCACTTTTGTGAGAATTTTTAGTCTCCCTAACTTGAGGAACCTCCAATTTCAGGCTTTACAAATGTAAAAATTTTTTTTTTAGTGAAATGAGAAGTCTTTATTAATCACCAACGCAAAAACTTACAAGGTATCAATTACAAGAATTCCCTCCCCTTTCTTCCTTCCTTTAACTAATTCCTGGTATGCATGCTTATTGTTTCTATCTATTCAGTTCACTATTTACATTATCTTCTTTATCCACAGTTTTTGTCTTCTTGATGTTGTCTTTCGTTCCATGATTATCTGTATCTTCATTTTGCATTCTTCCTTGACCATACTTACTAACTTGTGAGGTCTAAGAACTTTTTGATTCCACAATGCTTCATTCCTGACTCTCCATATATGGTAGATTGTAGCTACCAACATTGTGCAGATAGTTGATCTGCATGCTTTGCCCCTTATATTTCTTATCATTCTTCTCCATATGCCATTTAACCTGTGCTGCTGTATTCTTATATTCAGCCAATCTAGCAACTCCTTTAGACAGCTTCTGGAGTGTTTACAGTCAAAGAACAAATGGTCTATTGTTTCAGTTCCTTCTCCACATATGACACACTGATATTCTTGACATATTCCTAACTTTGCCAGCCTCTCCCTCGTTTGGAGCCTTCTATGCATAGCTAACCAGCCTATAAAGCTATGTTTTGGAATATTATTCCTGTCCCACACCCATCTACCATGGCACCAGCTATCTCTTCTTCCTTGTTTCCACTGATATCCACTCTTTATTGTGTACTTTCCATCAGCTTTTAGCCACCCCTGTTGAGTGTAACCTGCTGCAAATTGCTCCCTAATTGAGCAGATTTTCCTCCAGTACCAGCAGCAGTCTTTTGGGGGTTGGTACTCCCACTAGTCTTTCCCTTTCAAATATATATAGTTCACCCATTGTACCCACAGATTGTCTGCTTTTTTTGCAATATTCCAAACATATTTTGCAATAGCTGCTTGGTTCCAAGCCTCACACTCAATTATCCCTAGTCCCCCTTCTATCATAGGCCTGCAGATAAGATCCCAAGCTATTAGAGGTACTCTGTTGGTGTTCACTTTGCCATCCCATAGGAAATTCCTACAAATAGCTGTAATGCTCTCTAGTACTTTCTTAGGGAGAATGAAAATAGAAGACCAATAGGCATGGATATGCATTAGTACTGAGTTGATAAGCAGAACCCTTCCTGCATAGGATAGATTCCTGGAACCCCAACTTTTTATTCTAGCACACATTTTCTCCACCAGCATTTCACAATCTACAGCCGATATCTTTTTTGCTGAGATTGGCACCCCCAAGTACTTGAAAGGCAGGACTCCTTTTTTGTACCCAGTCATCTTCAGCTTCAGCCCTCTACATTTTGTATGGAACTCAAACCCCTGTAGTGTAGCTACATGCTGCATAATCCTTGAGAAGTACTCCATGCATATAACAAATATTAGAGGTGAGATGGGGTCACCTTGCCTTAGCCCTCTTTTCCCTTCAATGTTACCATAAATCCCTCCATTGATTGCAATAGAGTACTTTGTAGTTGTGATACATTGCATTATCCATTGTATGAACTTACTAGGGAAGTCAAATCATGTAACATTTCCTGTACAAAATCCCATTCCACAGTATCATAAGCCTTCCTTAAATCTATCTTTATTAGGCAACTTCTAGTAGATGTTTTCCTATTATATAGCCTGATCAAATCTTGACAGATTAGGACATTCTGAACTATACTTCCCCCTGCCACAAATGCACTCTGATTTGGTGAGATGATTTCTGGTAATACAGATCTCAACCTCATACATAGCATCTTTGATATTATCTTGAACAAGGTATTACAGCAGGCTATTGGCCTATAATCTCCCACCTCTTCTGCATGGCTCTTCTTAGGGACTAAAGTACATAGTTGAGTTTAGGCTTTTAGGCATTGTACCTTTTTGGACGAACTCCAGCACTCCAGTAACAACATCCTTGCTTATAGTATCCCAGCAGTCCTTGAAGAATTGGCTAGTGTAACCATCTGGTCTTGGGGATTTGTCTCCTGCTATTGACCATACAGCTGCCTCGACATCTTCCTCTTTATAGCTCTATATCAGCCATTCCCTTTGAGCCTGTGATAGTGTTGATCCCTTCCTTACTAGTTCACTACACACATGTTTCCTGTTCTCATCTTTTTCTCCAAGTAATTTCTTGTAAAATTCTATAAAGGCCTGAGCAATCTTGTCTGGATCTCTTCTAGTTATCCCTTGAGAATCAATAATTGAGAAGATTCTATTTCTGCTCCTTCTCTCCTTTATTGCACTGTGGAAGTATTTTGTATTGTGATCTCCTTGAGTTAGCCATAACATTCTACTTTTCTGCCTCAAAAACATGTCCCTAGCTTCTCCCCAAGTTCTGTATTCTTGTGCTAGGTAGATTTCTTTATCAATTAACTCTTTATTCCTTTCTTCACCTTGCAATTCTGTTTGACATCTCTTCAATTCTTCCATAGCATGTTCAGCCTTCCTTTCAACATCTGAGAATCTTTCCTTGTTCAGTTTTGTCAAGACTGCCTTCAGTCTGTTCATTTTGCCAATCACACTAAACAATTTGGTGCCTGCTATATCTGCATCCCAGCTATTTTTTACCCTTTCCTTGAAGTCATCAGCCATTTTCCACATATTGAAGTATTTGAATTGCCTTCTCTGCTTCCCTTTGCCATTATCCCAATTTACTATAGCAGGGCAATGATCATATAGTCCCTCATTCATGTAGTGCACTTTGAGACTGGCAATGCAGTTATCCAGTCTGAATTCACCACCACCCTAGCTATTCTGCTATATACCTTTTCCTCCCCTTCTTGTTTGTTATTCCATGTAAAGAAAGCCCCAGAGGACCTCAACTCCTGAAGAGCACACTCTGCTATACATTCTCTAAATTCCCTTATCTCAGCTATAGTAACTGGTCTCCCTATTCTATCCTCCTTATTCAGAACACAATTAAAGTCCCCCATCAAAGCCCAAGGGCGATTTATACTCCTTTTTATATCCCTTACCTCTTGCCATAAAGGCCTTCTAATAGCTAGATCATTGAAACCATATACAAATGTGACATAAAATCTTGCTCTATTCCCTCTGTACATTACTGCATAGTGAATAATTTGGGCAGAAACAAACTCAATTTGTACCTGCATGATTGCAGGCTTCCATACTATCCAAATTCTTCCACCTGGATGAGCCCCTAAGTTGTTTGTTAAGGACCATCCATTACAAAGATTAAGAGCTGCCTTTTGAGCATTATTCCTCTTAATCTTTGTTTCCAGGAGTCCAAATAGACCAACTTTACATTGGTGCAGAAACAAGTTAACTTCCTTCTGCTTTGCTAGTCTATTTAGTCCTCTGGTATTCCAGAAACCTATACTTTCCATTCTTTTGGGGAGGGCTTCCCCCCTTCCCCAATATTTGCTCTCCTTCCCCACTTCCATTATCCAACTTCTTTCCAGGCCCCTTATTCCCCTATTCCGCTACTCCCAGGTTACTTGGCTCTCCCAATGCACCAAATGAATTCTCTAAGTTGATGTTGTTTCTGGTTATATCCTTTCCTCTTTGTGCTCTACTCCCCTTCTGTATGTATATTGCCTTAACCCCCTCCTTTACATTGTTGTTTTCACTAGCATTTTGTTCCCTTCCAATCTGACTTTGATTCCCTTCCTGCTTTCCATCTTTATTCTGCTCCTTTTCCTTTTCTGCCTTATTCTGCGTATCCCCTTCTTTTTTAGCTGCCATCTGTTTTTCTGCCTGAATATGTCTCCTACACTCCACCATCTCATGCCCATAATTGTTACACTCTTTGCATAGTGTTGGCTTCCACTCATAGTGCACCCTTTGTTCAATTATTTTCCCTATTTCATTCTCAAACATTATGCTTTGTGGATAAGGCTGATCAAGTGTAACTTCTACTAACACTCTTGCAAATGTCATCCTCTCCTTCCATGTTGTGGCTCTATCTGCTTTTAGAGGTTTACCCACTAATTCCGCAATTTTTGTCAATGAATTCTTTCCCCAGTACTTGATGTCCAGCCCTGGGAGCCTAATCCATATAGGCACAGTACTGAACAACTCCTTTCTAGTGTCTACATCTGGTGTCCAAGGCTTTATGATAACAGGCTTTTTATCAAACATCTGGACTTCATCTTCCAACACCTTCATTCTACTCTCAGCTTGCGTAAATCTAACCAGAAATACACCTTTGTTCACCTGAGCAACCTTGTCTATTCCCAATTTCCCCCAGATTCTGTGGAAGTAGCCATTTATAACTACTGGAGGTGGATTCGATCCAAGTACATAACAAATCACTGCATTACTCCAGTATTCTATTTCCTCTTTGATATCCTCCATAGTTATTTTAACATTTTGTTTTGTAGATTCATTAGGTTTCAACTCTAATTCCTATACATCAGGACTATTAGCTACAATTCTGCTCCATAACCTCATTTTAGGTTCAATTTGAGGTTCAACCCCCGACATACCTTCGTGTGCTATTTCATTCTCCGCAATATCTGCCCATGACTGCTTTCCTGAAGAATTGTGCTCCCTCACACCTCCATGCATGAGCTTCACTGGTGTTTCTTATTCCATTGTTGCCTTATTTAACTCTAATGGAGTAATTCCTTATAGGACATTGATGCTCCGAGTTTTCTTCGCATCAGCTGAATTCGGAACTCCAATTCTTGCATTGGATGGTTGTTGAACAATCTCCTGATTCTGTTGGCTTCCTCCTCTAGCTTTCGACTTCCTCGTCATTTTCAGCTTTCACTGAGAGGGTTTCATTCTAGAGAGAGTTGAATATGTTTCTACCACAAATGTAAAAGTTAAACCCATTGCTTATCTAAATGGATAATATGGTTCTTATCCATATTTGACCCGTCTTTAAAAAGTTCATTATTCAACCCATTTTTTAGTGGATAATATGGGTGGTTAACTGCTTTCTTTCAACCATTTTGCCACCCCTAGTATCAATCAATACGATTTTGATGAAAAAACGGTATCAATTGTATTCGTTCGCGTATAATGATTGTATCAGTGAATACAATTTTGATGAAAAAATTATATCAACTGTATATTAATGAATACAATTTTGATGAAAAGTTGTATCTACTACATTCTTTCGTGCATAATTGCTTTATCGATGAATACATTTTTGATGAAAAAGTTATATCAATCTTATTCGTGTAAAGACCCATAAAATTCTCAACCAAAACTCGGGATTTCATGGTGCCGAGTTGGATTCCTGCAGTTCGGACCTTTTGGATTGAATCGTACCCTTCAGCTTAGAGGAAAATGTTTCTCAAACGAATGCGTTTCTTCGGCCCATTATGCGGCCGTATAATCACTCTGCGGACCGCATAATGGTCGCAGAGTGCAACAGAAAGTTGGCCAATCTTGAGGCCAGTTATGCGGCCCAATTATGCGATCGCATAATCGGTATGCGGGCCGTATATTGATCGCATATTTGCCCTGAACTTTTGCGAGGGGCAGTTCTGCGGTGCATTATGCGATCAGAGAACAGGTATGTGGACTGCATACCGGTCGCATACACAGTCAGAAAACTCAACTTCCTGAAGGCCCTTTCTGTTGTCACTCTGCGGGCTGCATAACCATTTTCCTAATTTAAAACCCGACCCCCATTCCGTTAAAACACCCCCTTAAGCCATTCTTCAACATTTTTCTCTAACAATTAGAGGGAGAGAGGAGGACCAAAGAGAGGAGAAAGGGTCTTGTGACGACCCAAAGGGTCATCACCTGTTTTCTTATCCATTTTGTGCTTCCAAGGCCTTGCAAACCTCATTTAGAGTCGCCTCAATTTGTGTGCACAGTCCGAGCGCGTAGCCGGAAAGCTTAAATATGAAATTTAGTGAAAAATGCTAAGTTTTGATGTTAAAATGAATAAATTTGACTTAGGTCAACATTTTGGGCAAACCGACCCGGACCCGTGATTTGACGGTCCCGGAGGTCCGTAGGAAAATATGGGACTCGGGCGTATACCCGAAATTGAATTCCGAGGTCCCGAGTCCGAGAAATGAATTTTTAAAGGAAATTATTTTTCTAAAATTGTTCAGGAAAACTGAAATGAAGTTTGATTAGAACGTGTTGGTATCGGACCCGTATTTTGGTTCTGGCGCCCGGTACAGATCTTATATATGTTTTAAGTCCTTCCTGTAAAATTTGGTTAAAAACGGACGTCGTTTGACGTGTTTCGGACTTAAAGTTCTAAATTTGAAACTTGATGAAGTTTTGGAAAAATTCTTGATTTTGGAGGTTTGATTCATTGTTTTAAGGTTATTTAGGCGATTTGATCGCACCGATAAGTTTGTATGATGTTGTTGAGTTAGTACATGTGTTTGGTTAGGAGCCCCGAGGGCTCGGGAAGTGCTTCGGAGGTGTTTCGGATGGTTTTTTACTTAGAAAAGTTGCAGAAAATCTGCAACAAGTGCCCGAGCTTGTTGCTCTTCGAGATCGCGTAGTCACTCTCGCGGTCGTGTAAGGTAAAATGGGGACAGGGGATTTTTTTTCTACGCGAACGCGACATAAGGATCGCAAACGTGGAGCACTATTGGGTCGCTCTACGCGAACGCGACCCACGTCTCGCGAACGCATAGGGTAAATGGGGGCTGGTATGGAAACTAGCATGTTTCCTCTACGCGAACGCGTTCCTAGGCCCGCGAACGCGAAGGTCGGGGGGCCAACCCTTCGCGAACACGTAAGAGGTATCGTGATCGCATAAGCCTGTGTAAGGCTACTCTTCGCGAACACGGGAGACCCATCGCGAACGCGATGAAGTTCTGCCCAGCGTTTTAAAAATAGTAGTTTAACCGAGAATTTTTCAAACTTTCGTAACTTCTTCATCTTAGCTCCAAATTGGTCGATTTTTGAAAGAGGATATCACAACAAATTCATAGGTATGTAATCTTAGACTCATTTTCTTCCATTTTCATCAACATCTAATGAATTTCTAGGCCTAAAACATGTTATTAAGGGTAGAAAATTAGGGATTTGGGTAGAGTTAGGGCTTTTCGATTTTTCTTGATTTAGACCTCGTTTTGGGGTCGAATTTGAAAACAAATTATATATTCGGGCTCGTGGGTGAATGGGTGATTTGATTTTCGTCCGAACCTCGTGTTTTGACCAAGCGGGACTGGGTCGATTTTTGGTATTTTGGGAAAAATGATTGGAAAGTTACTATTGGACATAGGAATTGGATTCATAGCTCTTATTGATGATATTGAGTCAATTATGTATAGATTCGATTGGGTTGGAGCCGGATTCGAGAGGAAAAGCGATAATTGAGGATTGAGTTGGCCGTGGAAGTTTGAGGTAAGTGTTCGGTCTAACCTTAGCTTGAGGGATTAGGAGTTGAGTCATATTTTCTACTTGCTTCTTGTTGAGTACGACGTATAGGCATGGTGACGAGTATCTATACGTTGGTGTCGAGCATGACCGTGAGTCATAAATTGAAAGTTGTTGTGATCTTAAGTGACATTTCGGATGCTTTAATTATTGATCTTCTATATTGAGCAGAAATTTGTCCTATTCTCGTAGCTCTTAATTATGATTGGGCATTGCCATTAATTGAGCTGAGTACAAGCTAAGGTAAGATTGGTTATAGCTGCTTCTCCCTTGCCAGGATGACTGTTTAGATATTTTTTTGCCTTGCCGGGAAATTATTATCTTGCTTATGTTCCCTTGCCGGGATTTCTTGTAATTGATGAACTGTAAAAGGGAGCGGGTGGTATGCCTACCACAAGATATGATCAAATGGGAGCGGGTGATACGCCTACCACAAGATTGATGAAATGGGAGCGGGTGGTACGCCTACCACAAGATAAAAGTGAAATGGGAGCGGGTGGTACGCCTACCACAAGATTGATGAAATGGGAGCGGGTGGTACGCCTACCACAAGATAAGAGTGAAATAGGAGCGGGTGGTACGCCTACCAGGAGATATGAGAAATGGGATTGGGTTGCACGCCTGCAACAAGATGAAACTGAAAATGAAAGTTGTCTTTATTTCTTTATCCCGCGTTAGAAGTTAAATTGTAGTTTTCCCCCTATTATGATATTTTGTTTTTATCTGTTACCCCCGAAACATGTTCCCTCCCCCAGCTTTAATTGTTTACCCCATGTGCCGGTAAGTGTCTGGCCTAACCCCGGCGAGGTAGTGACGAGGCTAGGACCAGACTCCAGATTAACCTGTGCAGATATATATACAAGTACAA